AAAAAAAACTTAACCTTCTATCTACTTTGTACTTGTCTAGTTCTGATTTTGTGTATAGTTGTTCGGGCAACCGTTTTGGGTTTAGCTATCCTGATTCATATTTCCCTGATTAGATCTATTCTGAGATTTATTAAAAAACTAGTAATTACCCCTACAATTTCTGTCTCCTTGGGGATTACTTTAGAAAGGAGTTAGCCAGAAATTAAATCTGTTATTTCTTTTACTAAAGTTTGTCCTTTTGTGATATCTTTCTGCTTTGTTAAAATATTTATTAGTGGTATTCTCCTTTTTAATAATGTTCTTAAATGATTCTCTAAATACTTCTTATTATCGTAAAACAGAGTATATATTGGTAAGATAATCTTAAGTGATTTCTGTTAATATAGTTTATTCATAAATAACAAAACATCCAGTACCAATATTCCCATGTTTTTAAATAAACTTTCAATGTAAAACCAGGCTTGAAGGGTTTCTTCATCTTCATCATCAGGTTTTGAACTATAGACCGCTCTAAAAATATTGTCTAGTGGCTATAAAATAGCTAATATTCTATATACCAGTTTTGAAAGAGTTTTGTCTGTTTCTTTGGCATGAGATAGAAGTAATTTTCAGACTTGTTTATCCATAATTGGTGCCTTGTATTTAATAAGAGCATTTTTTGGATACTCTTTAAGGATGTTGGCTTTAATAGCTTTAGGTAAGGTATAGTTTTTGTGTATTTTTGTAAAAAGTTGACTATTTTATCTGTAGGGCTTTATGCATTAAAGTCTGATTCATATTCATCCTCTTCTTTAGGAAGACTTTGTGATTCGAGTTAGTTATTAAGACCAGGTTCATTTTCATTACTGAGACTACCATCAGATATATTGAGTTAAAAAGAATTTTGTTTAATAATAATAGTTGGGCCACCTTTATTATAGGATAACAAAGTTACTTCAGCGTGGATAGCTTGCCAAAATAAAATAGCTTAGAGTAGTTAGAATAGATAAAAAGTCATATATATATAGAAAATCAAAAAAAAAAATTAAAAAATCATATGATGTATTTCTTGTATAATGTACTCTGAATTTGAAGCTAGCCAATAATAAAATGGCTATACTACATGTGATATTCTATATCAGAGTGAGTGAAATATATTTTTAAATTATATGATACTAGATAAAACTTCCTGAAAAATTAACAATACTGATTTATTTATTTATATGATATACAATACTGATACTACATACATACCAATTTATATTTATTTAAATTTACAGTAATATTATTGCTATTTGTTTATACTTTAATTATTATTTTTTTTTTATTTACTCTTTGCTTTTACACAATCTTCTTTTAATTATCTAACTTTCTTTACTATATCATCTGAAGGTTTTGAACAAAGTTTATCTTTAAATTCAATTAGGCAATATGGACAAATTTTGTTCCAAAGATAAACTTGTTTTTCTTCTGAAAGACTTTTTAATAGAAGCTCTTGAGGACATAGATTTGCTGGAATGGCATCTTTTTTTAACAACTGAAATTT